CCACGCCTTTCCATTTTCCGGATCATCTGTTAACCAATATTCAGAACTTCCAGACTGCCTGTGAGTTCTCATGCGATCTCGAACGACATTCAAGGGTGGTGTGACCGAAAAAAGGAGTAAAGGAAAATAAAATTTCCCCTTTAAAACTCTAAAGGTAAATTGAATTTGAATACTTATATTTCTCTTCGATTAAATCCGTTTTGTGAAAAGGAAACTGTGTCAGCATCTTCGTTGTTTCTCCTAAGGATCATGATCAAAACAGAAAAAAAAGTTTGACAAAAATTGCGCCTAATTAAGTTGTTTTACCTGCGACGAGACGGTAGACGAACAAATCTACTAAGGTAAATTTTAAAATCCCCTGTAACCACAAAAATCACATTTTTCAAATAGGACAAATAAATACACGCTATGGAAATTTTCGTTAAATCATGGCATGCAACATGTTTTGAAGAATTAAGCTTAACATCTTATCGGTAGAGAAATCCTGATCATCAAAGCACAGTACTGTAATTTAACGCACTAATCTGTTCTCTAGTCTACTAATGTAGTCAAGCATGAAGAAATTCAGATGACACGTTTTGTCTTCTCTGTCTCAGAAAAGGAGTCAACTGGAAAGAACCAGAACATGTTTCATTTTCACTGCAAGTTCCCTCGGAGTCTGAGCGTGCACGAAAACGCAAGCTAGTGAGAGTAAATAATCCAATTAAGGGTACCACGATCGTAGACAACCAATTTTAAAACCGTGATAAGAAAACAATGGTCAAATGTTCCACGGAAGTACGAACTAAGGATTATGATCAATCAGTAAGACTCCCACATAAATGAACTGCATGCGCCGCTACAGGCATCATGCTGGTTTGTTATTCATCAGTTGGAGGAAGACTCACACTGTTTCATGCCAAGATCTACTCTGCAAACTATCAGATGTTTAATCTTGTATGGATTCACTGGTTTTAAAACTGGCAAGGTGCAGAGATAAGAATTTGAATGCTGTGCTTAGCTTGTGTTTCCCGTGCTCAGTCGTGAGACTCATCAGCCAGCTTAACAGCGACTCATCCGGCGATCTGCCGCTGCTCTTGAACTTGTTCCAAGCTACTAGTAATTTCCTGTTGGAACAATTCTCCATCGAGTTTAATTCGTTCTCTTGCTGAAAGCTCAGTTGTTTGCTTTACTAATAGTCCTCTTGTAAATTAAAGTTATTCACAACATACATACAGTTATGAAAACACAGCGCGTAATTATAGTTTAAGGGGTCAAACGAGACGAAATGATTAATTAATGTTGATTTACAATGATAGGTGATGTCCGCGCTCTCGGAGGACACAAATTTACAGTGCCTTAGGGCATGGTTGAAATTAGTATCCTGGGCATAAAGGAAAAGAAATACCTTTAAACTTCCCTTCTGTAATGCTCTAAATAGGACCTCCCTTAAGACTCGCCTACTGTGTTGCCAAGGTTTAATGGTGGCGTGATTGTGCCGAGCACAGTTAAACTGGGCGCACATTGCCAAAACGAAATACATAGCCAAGTAGCCTGGAAAGGTCTTATCACACAAGGTCACAGAAGGTGGAGTCATTTTGAAGATAAATGACGTTATCGATAATTAAATAACAGAAAAAAACAAATCTGTGAATTATCGCTAACTTTCAAGAGCCTCTTAAAGTTTCAGTATTAAAGGTTGGCGGTACAACATAGAAAAGTCGGAACGTGTAATGAAGGTAATGACTTCGAGCTGATCAAAGTTACACAGATAAACAGATATGCCTTCTGGGCAGCTTTAATTCGGTACGTGTGCAAAACAATTGCTTTCCAGATTATAGTGGCTTATATCTCAACAACTTTTAATAAATTAGCTCCAGCCGGAGAAGAGTGTTCCGTAATGAGATTACAAAGAGGACAACAACTGATATGTAGAAAACATAAGCACCGTCGTTTTCCTTCGAGTGTCTGTTTGACTGGACGTGATAGGCTTATCAACCGTCAGATGCGTGTATGGCCGCGTTTTTTACACCGTTAACTTTCTACTTTACCGACACAAAATCTAATTTTCTTAAGTCTCATTGTTAGGGCGGCCAGACAATACAAGACCACGCTTAAGGCATAATGACATAAACGAAATTTCGTAAAAACTTTGCGACCTATTGAATAGGAAACCTGTTGTTTTGTTTTTCTTGCCTACTTTATTGTTTTTTGTTTGTTATTTTAGTTTTTCTTTATAAATGACGTAGCCTATAAATTTATAAACCGTGAAAAAATTTCATAGCATCTTAAAATTGCATATAACATCCGGCTTTAAGCGTCGCGACAAACTAAGAAAACCCGCAATTTTTGCCGCGAGCTACCCAACGATATCTTGTATCGTCTTCACCCAATCATCGGACGGACTTTCCCTCACGCTCACTCAACTACCAGTTGATAATAATATGAAAAGGTTTGAATAGTTCAGGTAAGATCTGACAAAAAGGACTGACACGCTAGGAAGGTGAAAGAATTAATCTGCTCGTGAATCTTTCTCAAAATTTCAGAGCATATCCTGACGTGATGAATAAAACTAGATTTTCATTAAATTGACCTTCAGGTTATTGGTTATCAATTTCGGCTAGTTGTGGCTAGCCCGCAATTAGTTGTGTATGTTAACCTTGAATGAATAATAATCAGGGGAAGTTGCAGCACAAACTTCTATCAAGTTCGAAACATTACACTGATTATAACAGCAGAGGGACGTCTCCTGTTGCTAAAGTTAAAGTGGGAATCGCAAAAGCAAGGTTTACAAAATATGCAATATTTCCGGATATTTCTCGAACATCCAAAGAATGGTTTATCACACTTGCAAAGAAACAGAAAATGCCATTTATTGCTCTAATGAAATAACCGCAAATATATAATTTGTTTGGGTTTACTTGTACAATAAGGGAGGGTTTTTTTAAACCAAGTAATTGGTTATTAATATAATTGATGGAACTAGGGGTCATGTAAGTTTTTACTTAGTACCTTTTGTATACATAAGAAGTGAACCAAAGCTGAGTAATTTGCGCAGATCTCAAAAAGACCCCGGAACATAATTCAGGGAAACACGAATTGAAGTCAGCTTGAACATTGTCAAGTATTATCCCACCAAAGGTCGGTTTTGCTCTATTTGATAGGCAAAGAGCACCTTTATTTGTCTCCTCTGACTCGGGTTCTTTAGCAAATTGTCCTACTTCTATGTTAGGACTTAAAAAAAAACACCATGTGAACCGCTAGTCTCCAATTTTACGGCGACACCCTCTTATGAAATCAAGGTTTTTTTCGGTGATGAACATCGTATAAAAACCAATGTTTAAAGAATCATTTAAGTTATAAGTTATATGTGGGACTATTAATTCAGAATGTAATGTTTTACGACGTAAGTTTTATTAGTAGAATACGTTAATGTAAATATTGTAAGTAATGTTAATCATCACCACCATCATCATCATCATAAAAAAGTGAACTGAAACATTGTAAAGTGCATGCTTTTCAGGCTTTTAATTAAATTATATAACTTCTATCTCAAAGAGCATTGTATTGGACAAAAAGAATGACCAATGGAAGAATTAACAAAAAAAACTGCATTAACCACAGCAACAGAATTCATGCATATCACACTAGCCTTAACACTAAACTTAAATGGTCTAAGGTTAGTAAATATAAGCAATGTGACTGGCCTAACTTAACATTGAACTGTCTGTTGTGTAGTTAAATGAAGTGAACTTCAGTAAACTAGTGTTAACTGATGTAAATAATTTGATGTAAATAACATTTAGATCTTCCTTAAAACCAAATACTATTCTCAGTAACTACGCATTCATAAGTGACAATCAATTGGGATGTAACTTTAAAACAAAGCAGTCTTCCATTAATAAATCAACAATTCACAAAGGAATCAAAAGAATTATTAAAATAGTTGATTGAAGCAATTCAATAGTACTAATAATGTAGTCATTACCAAACAAAAGCAATCAACAGTCTTATTCAAAGACTCTAATAAACTGTAATGAAACTGAACAGCAGAAAGCCACCTCTACACAAGTTGCAAGATATGTTTTGACCCAAGCTTTGGAAAATAATGGATGAGCTAGTTGACCAGTGAAATACACCTTCTAAGGTTCCAAATCAACATCTGAATATAGCAACATACCTACTTGATGGAAAGCTGCTTTTTGCACAGTTTGTAACTGTAATGATAATGTCAGTAATTCGGTGACAACTGAGAAGAACTTTCTTTATTATTTATCAACGATTCATATGTGTTAATTTGGTAACTGCCAATTTAGTAAATTTTAAGTAATTTAAAGGTGAAAGTTTGCCAGCTGTAAAATACATTTCCCTAGTCAATGACTTTTATCAATGTTTCCATCTAAAGTCTTTGTAAGTTTGCTTGGTGCTCCCAGATGTAACATTTGTGAGGCAGATATTATAGAAGAGACAAAAGGCACCCTGTCACACAATTTAAAGGTATCCCTCAGAGTTTTTCTTTGACATGTCTGGTAATGAATGCATAAGTTCATGCATTACTTGTATACTGGGATGATAGTCATCTATACAACAAAACCTAATTCACACACTCCTATGAAAAGGATTCTCTCTGAACAGGTTTAATAATCATTCCCCCAAAATTTTCTTCAAATCCTTTTTTTCTGCTTCAGTGAATAAGAAACACAATTGAGGTGATCATAAGAAAAGTAATAAATAATGTCAAAAATATAGATGCAGTAGATGTTTGATAATATTGCCCCATCCTAAAAAATTGAAAGAGAACATAACACAAAATATGCAGTTAATTTGTTAGCTGTGAGAAAGAGCATAGAAAAGTGATTTTGTGGTTCATTAAATTAAATGGGAATCAGGATCAGACAGTTCACCAAACAATATATGAATAGAAGATAATAAAACGATAATACTTAAAACAATTGCAAGTCCTCAACATCAAACCTACGCCTCCATGTTAATCTGTCTATTTGATTATCAATATGCATACCTCAAGGCCTTCGTAGGCTTTGACACTTTTGTTTGTGACCAGCCTTCCAGTCCTTCCTCTGGCATCGATAGCCACAATAGACTACAGCCTTGCATGCACTACACTTCATCAGAGTTACTTCTTCATTTGCCATCTGCCCACAAAAGCCACAACAATGTGTCTCAGTCACCGCACTCTCTTTCCAGGTAATTTCTTTAAAATTTACTATAGCATTAACTTTCAACATTGTGTACATCTCACAACAGGCAAACTGACATAAACATGCAAGCCTGGGGCAATTAGAAAAGTCTTTCAAGTTGTCAGAGTCCATGATTTTCTCATAGATGTACATATCATGGCTTGAAATCATATCATCAATCAGTTCCCCTGAGCCATCCACAAACAGACCTTCACTTAAAGTGACCTTCCCTTCTAGAGAGCAGCTCAGAAATGAAACTGGGTTGTGTCCACCAGACAATAGGTCCACAGCAAAATCTTGAAATTTTGCCAGGTCCTGACATGCACATCCTTTCTTACTACATGTCTGTGTGGAGTTCCCTTCGTCACTGGCATGCCTAGAAACTTCCTTAATTGAATATTTCTCATAAACTTTCCTTGTTGCAGCAAGAAGGTCAACAAAACTCCCAGAGAGTGCTTCCTTCTTGTCAATACGTGCCATGGTTTTCCACTTAAAGATAAAATTTTGGGCAATTGAAGGGGCAACAGCTCTTGCCATCATGACAGAACTTAGTTGCTGCATTGAGGCTTTATCATCACAAAGGGTTGTGTACTGTGGCAGCTTTTCCACTTCTAAAATATTTTGGGCAATTTGACTTTTGAACACTCCTTCAAACAGTTCACCAACATCATTAATGGCTTCCCCTGAAAGTTTGCCATGGCAATGTTTGACCAATAGCTCCACCAGAAGAGAAGTACAGGATGCTGCCCATTTCATAGGATCAAAATTGTTGCAATCAATAGAATCTACAAACTGATCCACTGCTTCTTCGATTAGAGCTTCTGTCATGGGAGGTGTTGGTTTACTCATCCAATACAAATTTGCAAATGAGTGTTCCAAAAAGATTCCTAGGCCATCTTTCAAATGATATTTAATGCAAGTCTCAAATTCCTCTTTACATTGGACTTTTTTTACTGCAGCAAGTGCAGTTACAAGAGATTGCCTGTTGGTTTCTGTTCCAATTTTACCTCTTCCATCTTTATCAACACATGTCAAAGTCCATGTTCCTGGTAAGACATTATCAGCTCTCTCCATGGTTGCAGAGGAATGGCAAGTTTTGCACTGATGTCCTTTTGACAATTGCCAGTTAACCTTGCCCACTTGTCCTTCACAACCTCCTATCTGTGCAAACTTGATTTGAGTCAAACTTAGAAACACATCCACAACTGGGTTTCTAGCATCAATCATTCTTTCAGCATTCTGATCCTCCACGATTTTTTTCGCTGACTCGAGCATGGTGACTCCCAACCTCAGATCTCCTTTCCAAGTATACCACAGAGCCTGATGCATACATATTCCAGTAAGTCGCTCGAAGTTAACAGGAAGACTGAACTTCTCCAATGTCGTCTTCTTCCACTGCGAAAATTTGCTTCTCTGGCTGTTAGCTTTGCTCATAAAATCGATCATGGTCCCACCACCTAGGAGGAGTTTCTCGTATTCCGGGGGTTCCGTGGGAGCTGGGGGTAAGGGACAACAAAGGTACTCTAACTCCGACTTCTCTATCCACCAGGCATCAAATTCCGGGCGACGAGGGTCTAAATAGGTAAATGACTTCTTCACTTCGCTTCCTCCCTTCGCCATGATAAATTCTTCTTCGCTACTGTAGTTACAAAATCGAGAAACACGCTCGTAAAATTCAAAGCTGCGTTTGACTTCTCTGTTGATGAAAGTTTCACCTCCTTGAGAAGCTTTCGCCTTCTCGTAACAAGGGATAACCAACAGTTTCGCCGCCTCTTCGATTGGTACCGGTTGGAGAATAGCTTTCCCCGCAGCCAAACTGAAATTACTCTCAAGTATTGGTACTAAATCGCTTTCCCTCAACTTTTCCAGGGAGAATCCGTCCCGAATTTCACCACCAACATAGCACAGAATATTGACCAGGTCAAAGGTCGGTTTTGTGGCCTTTCGTCCTCTCTTAAAAATTCCATTAACCGAAAAAACACCCCTTCCATCCGTATTCGAGACGTACCCTAAGCCATGCTGGTATTTAGACAGGACTTTTGGGTTAAATTTGAGACTGTATGCCATTTTTTTTTTGAAAGTAACTGTTTCCTGGAAAGGTGTGAAACTTTCCCTGTGCATTGCCGCGAAGCGCGGTTGTAACTACTTTCGCGCCAAAATCACTTTCGCAAAGTGCATGATGGGCAGATAACATTTTAGTACTTACCAGGGTGCTAGACGATTGGTTAGCGCTGGGGAAGCTGGGGTATCGAAGGGATCCGTAACCACAAAATGACCCCCCACCCCTCCCCTGTACCTGTTTTCACTGTCCCAAAATACTCGCTTTCGTGAAAAATTTTCTATCGGTTGAGTCTGGTAGCGCGATATTTTGATCGCTTAAGTGTTTCACGGATGAAAAAAGGCAAACAAAGATGAGAACATTCACGGATGAAAAAAGGTAAACAAAGACGAGGAAATATTTGTTCTCTACCCAAGGTGCATTGAAGATCATTTTAAACTCTGCTTACATAAAGTATTTATTTCCTCGTAAATCGAAAGGACATCATGGCGTCACTACATTCATCTCTCCCGGATGGCTACGAACAGGGATCATATCAAACGCCAGAGTTTACGGAGGAAACCTTGTTAATGTACGAGCATGGTGTAGCTTGTGTATCCAATGTCGATGGACGGGGAAATGTTTCTATTTACGCCATGATCAAACGAGGGGAGAAGAAAAATTCGAAACTGGTTTTCGATTACGCCAACATCTTGGGCTTCGTCGGCGGTGAGATAAGAGATGGATTCTGCAATACAAACCTCAAGGAAGGCGAAGCTCTTCGTTTTATGCAAACCCATATAGATCTGTCGAAAGGGAGGACCGTTAGAATGGTTTTTGCTCCCGTCGAAGAGGTGTCGGCCATGTTTGTACTTCCGCTTCGGGTGAAGTCCCTTCAGAATGGGGTGGATTTCCCTGATCCTAGCACGGAAACGGCTTTTGAGTACTTCAAACAAGCAGCAAAATTATGTCCTTATCAGAAGCTTGAAGATTTCTTTGATTTCAAGCTTGGTAAAGCTCCCCGAAAGGCAGATCGTTCGAAGTTCAGCGGCCACAGAGCAGAGCTGGAGTCATGGTGGCTGGAGAGGTCCGAGCTGTTATACTACAACTGCCCACCTCCGCCCCAACCGCCTATCCTGAATCTGACCAAACTAAATGAGAAGAAGAAAGAGGGAAAATTTATGTCAGGGTTTATGGAACAGGCTAGCCAGTGGAGGAAAAAGCAAGAGAATTCAGAAGCATGGAAGAAAATTGCAGTGCAGAAGTTGACTGATTCTCAGAACTATGATCGATTCTGTGGAATGGCAATTCTGCAAGCACTGTGGTACATCTGGATAGGTGATCCTGAACGTGCAATAGTGATGGTGGAAGCTTGGCAAGATTTTGAAAGAGATAAGGCAGCAGGGCGGTTTCTTGATGCAAACAGCATTGTCTTGGAAGAACTTTTAGATTTAACTCTCGGTAATCTATCCAGTAGAGGGATGTGCATTGGTCAAACCAAAGTTGATTCAAGATTAACACTAAAGAAGATGTGTGAAGTTTGCTTGAGTCCAGTGTTTCTGGGACCGGATAGAAATGGCTTTCATGTCTTAACATGTATTGACAAAGATTCCAATGGTGAATTTGGTTGCAAAAATACTCGTGTGAATATAGCGAAATTGCTATTTGCCATCAACAAATATGGAATGAACAAGGATTTTGATACAGCTGCTAACCACTCCTTTCATGAAGCTCTCCACATCTTTCTGGAGCATTCATTTTCTGTGTTGTATTGGAGAATCAAACCCACAAACCCCATGACTGCAGACACTGAAAATGAAGCAGTTCCAAAGTTCATTGAATTGCTGACAGTTGATGAAAAACTAGATGCATCAAAATGGGTTGATTCTTCTACTGCTGTGTTAAGAGAAGCCCTGGTGAACCACTGCAGCAAGAAGCTTGGCAAAGAAGATGTGGATAAGTTGACAGAGCTATTTCGCTCAAAACTGGAAAAAATTTTGATAGAGTATAACAAGGAAGAGAGAGATAGCGCAAAGCAATCTAAAGAACCTAATTTGAAAGATGTGAGGGTTGATCTCTTGCGAAAAACTGTTGCTCCTACAATGTCTCAACAATTTAAGCGTAAATGGAGACTCATGTCCATTGCTAAAAGAAAAAGGATTTTGTTAGTGGTAGACAGTCAGCGTGTTAGAGAAGCATGCAATGAATCCTACAAACAAATGGAGAAGATTGATGAAGAAGAAAGAATAAAAAAGCTAAATGAAACAACAACAGCAGACCAACAAATAAATGGGAGCCATGGAGGTGAGCTTTGCACAACTCCTGGTGGTAACGAAGAAAGGTATGATGCTTTAGAGACAGCAGACTGTGAAGAAAACAACCCAGGTATGCTATTAGGTCAGAAAGGATCATCAGAGGATTCAGACAGTGACGATTCACTGGCAGGCACAGATGTTACGTTTCCTGAAAAGTGCAGTGGTGATTCCTGTCCTTGTACTGATAGCTACAAGTTTTGGCAGCATTTGGTTAGCATTTTGGTCAGTGATAAAAATCCTGTTCCCTACTTTAAGTGCATTGATAATGGTGACCTAATCTTGCGAGGAAAACTCTGGGAAGATCAGGAGGGTCATTTCTTTGATGACGTAATCACTCTCAATGAAGAATTTATTGGTGGTGCTGTCCTACCAATGGAAGATGAGGTGTTTTCGCAGTGCAAAAGACTTGCCTTGATTTGCAAAATGGCATGCCATCGGCTAATTCCAATGCTTTTGATGGGCGTCATTCATCAGTTTGGAGAGTTAGAAAAGAGAGAAAATGTCAAGTATGAATGCCAGGCATGTCAGTGCTGTGGCCAAGTTGAGGAGGAACCAGGTGATTTCAAGAGATGTGGTGAATGTAAGAGTGTTTTCTACTGTGGCAGGAAATGTCAAGCTCAAGATTGGAAAGCTGGCCACAAGCAGATATGTCAAGATCTTGTGAAGGACCAAGAGTGAAAAAGTAAGGTGCCATTTTGCACTTTTCTTTTATAAGAATTCTTTGTGTAGGGCTCTATGCTGTAACTACTGGTAAAATATTTTGGTGACTGAGGTTGGAGCAAAAGCAGCCATTAGAGACAACTAGAGAAATGCATATTGTGTGGCTTAGTATAGAAGGACAGTCCAGCCAGAAGAATAATAACAGTAATGTATTTTGGCTCTTATGAATTTTTACTACCCCACTTCCTCAGTGATTAGACCCTCTTCACCCTTTATCTTCCAAGATCTGATTGTGAATTCCCTCAACAACATTTCCCTGTAGATTAAATATGAGAATTTGGTGTTAGGTTAAGATAACAACTTGAGCTTGATAAGTTTTAGTATTCTTATTACCTGTTTAGTGGATAATGTATGGACATTTTGGGGAGAAATTACAAGTTCATCACTTAAAGACTTTTTTTTTTCTGCTTAACAGGTTGTCTTGCTCATTTCCTCCTCACAAGAGTTTCCCATACCAAAACACATTGGTTACTTATATTTATTAACTGTGTATGCTGTGGCAATTAGTAATGTTAGCAGGAAAAAGTGGAATATGATTCAGGTAAAAATATGATGAGTAACTTTATGTTCACTTCAAAACCTACAAGCACACATATCCTAGGATTGTGTCCACACGAAGTCCTGAAACCAATTATTTTTATCAATAATGGAGTGCTAGAAATGCACATATTTATCATATGATGATTCAGAAATTTTGTATGTGTTTAGAGAGCTAGGTTTGTTGTATTGTTAGCATTTTCATAAGGATATGTTGTAGCTGGAGAATAAACTCCTCTTTTGAATTGAGATGAAGATTAAGTAAAGTAGAAACAGAGAATTCTTTATCTTAAAAATTCTGAGATCTCCAGTGCCCAATCAACATTACATGTTGTGATTGCCTTGTTCTCAAAGTTTCTGGATTGATAAAATTACTGTAGATTGGTTGGTAAATTATATTTAAAAAACTGTTTAGTCTTCTTACATATCTTTGCACACTTTTCGTCTTACTTCATTGGTGCAGTAGTAATGCAAAGATCACTGTGGCTACAAAATTTAAGATTAATTTTTACTAAGTAGAGGCTAAAGAAGGCCTTATGTGTCACAAAGTGTGAAGAAAATAGAGGTTTAAAATCTAACATAGAGTTACAGGCATGCTTGTTCTTTTTAGAAAAGTTTAAGCTTTTCTTTATATATGTTACTTAGTATTGTGAACTCTGTTCATCTTTAATTGGTATAATGTTTATTTTAATAATTATTTTCCCCTTTATGAATTTTTTGTTTTAAGCTTGGAGTTGTATATCAGTTGTGATTCCTGGTAGTGCATACAACTCAACAACAGCAACATGAAACTTTGGTGCATAATACTCAAAACATCAATTTTTTGTCTAATGGGTTTTTTTGCCTTGATTTTTGCTTGTTAAGATTCTAGAGAAATATGATTTCATAAAATAGTAATGGTAGAATTAGGGAAAAACTAGGAATAATAGAATAATGCCATTATGGAAGAGGTTTATATCTGATAGATCTCATTTAGAGACTGTGTCATCTGAATTGTGTAGCAATAACCTTAATTGTGCTTAATGTTTTGATGACAGTATGTTATGGAATTGGTGTCTAGGGATTTAATTGTTAGAAGTTTCCTTTTTTAAACTTGGTAATGTAGTTCATTATTTTTCAATACGTATACTCCTCTAGTAGGTTAGTCCTAAGCTACTTGAATATGTCTTTTGTAAAGTAAAAAGACTACTATGGTTGAATAAATATTTCTGGCCCAATTTAGCTGAAATTTTGTCATAGTGTAAACAATACGCGTTCTAGGATGTTCTGAACATTCTTCCAATGATTTCGTTTTTACCAGAGGGGAAATTTGGTAAAGTCCATTAAAATCAAACCGGAGGTTGGAAACTTTTTCTGTTTATCGCAGAGAAAATCAAGAAATGTCCTGATTTCGTAAGCAACCGTAGTGTTCAGTCAGTCGTCAATTAATTGGAATTTCGGAAAGCTGAAATATTTGC